CTTTTGCAGGTTGTCCTCAGGAGGTGGCAAAGCTCTGTCCCTGCTGGAGCACTGCTGACCACTGTCACCAACCAGACATGGAGAGGGCATGAGAGCCCACAGGACCTGACCCAGGGGTCACTCAGAGGAAAGGAGAAGGCAAGAAAGGAAAAGAAGCAGTTGAGATCCATCAGCAGCTGCCACAGGGCATCAGCTCCAGCACTGAGCTCCCAGAGGGGGCCAACAGGCACAAATGAGTTGCAGTGCCACATTTCTTCTAGACCATGTCATTCCCAGCACACAAGGCTGAACATGTAAAGTGACTCTGCAATGTTCTCCAAGGTCACTGTAGAACAAGGGTCACTTTGGGAAGGGCTCTAGGCCTGCCTGGTACAGGCTCCAAGCAGCTTTGGAGCTGATGAGAGCAGGACTGCTCCATCCTTGCAGTGACACCATGGATCCATGTTACAACCACACAAGCTCTCAAAATAGGATGGACTTGCCCCTGCAGCTGCTGGTCGGGTCCTGCCTCGTCATCCTCATCACGATCACCCTCTGTGGCAACATCATCGTCTGCCTGGCCGTCACCTTCGACCGCCGGCTCCGGAGCTTGACAAACTGCATCATTGTCTCCTTGGCCATCACAGATCTGCTGCTGGGGCTTCTGGTGCTGCCATTCTCTGCTTTCTATGAACTCACCAAGGAGTGGACCTTTGGCAGCGTTTTGTGCAACATCTACATCAGCCTGGACGTCATGTTGTGCACGGCCTCCATCCTCAACCTCTTCATGATCAGCCTGGACCGCTACTTTGCTGTCACCAGCCCGCTCCGCTACTGCCAGGTGGTCACTCCCTCCCGGGTGGCCGTGGGTTTGGTTGTTATTTGGACCGTTTCACTGATGGTTTCCTTCCTACCCATCCACCTGGGCTGGAACACCAACGGGACAGCAGTGCAAAACACAGGCCCCACCTGCAACAAGGAGTGCACGCTGGCGGTGAACCCCGTGTACGGGTTAGTGGACGCCTTGCTCACCTTCTACATCCCTTTGGTCATCATGTGCATCACCTACTACCGCATACTCAAGATAGCGAGGGAGCAGGCCAAGAGGATAAACCACACGTGGGGCAACACGCCCATGCCACCCATGGTGAAGGAGCACAAAGCCACCGTGACGCTGGCGGTGGTGCTGGGAGCGTTCATCGTCTGCTGGTTCCCCTATTTCACCGTGTTCACCTACCGGGGGGTGTGGGGGGACAGCAGGGTCAAAGGCACACCCATGTCCATTGTTCTCTGGCTGGGCTATGCCAACTCAGCCCTGAACCCCATCCTCTACGGGACGCTCAACAGGGATTTCCGAGTGGCATACCAGCACTTGCTGCAGTGCTGGAGGACGGGACACCCCAGGAACTCCCACCTGCCTCCCCTCCAGACTGCCCAGCCCAGGGGCAGGCAGGGCCAGGGCAGGCAGGAGGGTAAACCTTTGAAACTGGAGGTGAGGAACAAGAAAGGGACCCTGCTCACCGATGGAGCCCTCAAGAGGTAAGAGCCTTCCTACACTCAGGACTTTGATGGTAGGTCTGTCCCCAGAGAAGAAGGCAGAGGTAGGGACCCCACATTCTCCATGGACTTTTAAGCAACAAACTGACGCTAGAGCAGGATATCCTTGCCCAGGCAACTCCTAAATTCAGCCACTCAGAAATCCATCACCACTCACAGGAACACAGCTTGCATCCCCTCCTTGCTGGCAGAGGAGCTGCAGGTATTCCAGCTTCCCACATGCCCTGGAATTGCCATCATTCACAGGGAGCACAAGATGTCCCCTGGCTTTGCTGGGTAAGGGGGACAGTGGCCATCAGAATTTGCTGCACAGAATGAGGTGAAGCTGTTAGCTGGGGCTGCTCCCCAAAATCAGCCATGTCCCTTGTGAGGAGCAGAAAGCAAATTCTGGGCACAGAGCAGAACTTGAGGGGCCAGGAAAGGTGACTGCCCATCCCAGAGGGAAAAATGGGAATTAGTCCCGGGACACAGTCAGAGCACCTGCAGCCAGGCTGAGAGTCCCTGCAGGAGCCAAGATCTGGGTTCCCAGCTCCCTGCAGAGCAGCTCAGCCACTTCCCTTCCCATGGGAGCCACGCACCCTCAGCACTGCAGCCATCAGTTTGCATCAGCAGTGAATTCAGCCAAGAGCAAGTTCCAGTCCCGTCTCTGGAAAGGGGCAGGACTAGCCCAAATTAGGTTGGCAGAGGTTTTTAGAAATACAAATACCCATGTAAAGTTAGAGCCAAATATTCCCTCAGCATCATCCCAAGCATGTTACAAGGGTCACCCCACCAAGGGGTGTGGTGAGGGAGCTGGATGGGAGCAAAGTGGGAAATTTCTGTGCCAGGCTGTCTCCCCAGCCCCCTCCCTGGGCACCCCCATCCCCACAGGGCTGTGCCACCCTCTCACTGCCTCGCTCCAAGGTGTTCACTCAGCCAAGCACAAGGAGAACGGAGCGGCAGGCTGTCACTCTGCTGCTCCTGAGACTAATCTAACCTCTAAGCATTGCCTGATAAGCAGCCCAGAAACTTTCCATCCATAGATAAGGAGTCCTTTGATTCCCTGTTCCCAGCGTGCCGGCAAAGAAGCCGCGCTCGTGCGCTCTCGCAGCACGTGCCCTTGATCCTGCCCCAGAAACAGTCTTAAGCCACCAAAAGGAGAACTCAGGGAGGTGAACCAAAGTTCAGAGCCATCCTAAAGGCTGAGCCAGCATTGTGCCTCCCCCAGGGCACCAATGTGACTTTACCCAAGGGAGTGGGGGGCAGAAAAAGTGATACAGAGGGATGGATTAACGTGAGCAAATACAAGAATGCAGGTCCTGGGGATGCCTTTTTCCATTTCCAAGGAATTAGTGAAGCACCCAGAGTTTTGGTAAATTGTAGGTTGTATATAAAAACATATGGAAAACATGTGTCTAAGGTGGTGGGGGTGTTTCTGCAAACATACAGGGACAAAGAGAGCTATCCTGTTTACTCACTCAGAAGTGCAGCCCCTGGGCAAACCAGGAGCTCATGCACTGCAGCTGAACCAGGAGAGCTGGCGATGAGGAACAGCCTGTCAGGATTTCCCTGCACAGCCAAGAGAGAAGCAAATAGAAATGTCAGTGTCTTCTCAAAATGCCGCCTTACCACAAAGGCACAATAATGACTTGGAGGGAGATAAAAGGGGAAGAAAAATGGGTTTCTGTTCCTCAGGCAGAGGGCAGGGTCACTGATTTCCTGGCTTTCACCCTCCCAGCTTTTCCGTGTAGAAAAGATTCTTCCCCTGGTTCCCCAGAGGGAACACTCAAGCAAGGGGATGTTTCTTGACCTTTCTAAATCCAGAGAGCTCCCCCCCGTCCCACACAGCATCGCTGCTGTGGTTTCTGCTCACAGTCAGATAAGAGTTGCTCGAGCACCTGCTTTTACTTTCTCTCCTTCTCTTCACAGCCCTCTCACCTCAGAGCAACAATGCACCAATGATCATATGTGGCCCCTTCCAGCCCCTTTTTCCATAGTCTGATACATAAAAATCTGATGCTGGCAGATGATCAGGATCAACTAATGCCACACAAGACAGGTGAGCACAGGATTTACCTGTTCACCAAAAACCTGGCAGCCAATTTCACTCCTAGCACAAACCAAGCTGGTTCTTCTCCCCTCTTCCTCTCTGCAGAGTTCATCTGCCCTGAATATGTTAACAGGAAAAGACCAACATAAATCATTCAAAAAACTCATAACCCCCCAGGATAAGAACACCCAGAGCTCAGAAGAGTTTTACTCGCAGAAGCTCTGTGGGATCATTCAAGGGAAAGCAGAATTTTGAACCGTTGCCCTTAATAACAATGTTCTTTTCAGTTATGAGGTGCAGGAAAAGGATTAACAAACAAGAGTGGAAATACTGGAGAAGTGCAGCCAGTCTCAGGGGTCACTCAGAGTCTCAGTCAGGAGCAGGGCAGGGAATCAAAAGCCACGGGATGTCCACAGCAGCTGGGTGCTGGAGAGCATTTCCATCAGTGAGGACCAGGTAGGACCAAGCAGAGATGCAAGGAGAAGACAGCTACTCCCATTTCCCCACCAGGCATCAGGAGAAGCCAGTTCCCTTTGGAAAGGGTCACTGTCCTAGTCACAACATGCCTGCCCCAGCTGCCAGCCTCAGGCAGACACTACCTGGTGCTTCTCAGAGCAAAGGAGGCTTAGCCAGGCTGGCACTGACAGACTGGTCTGTTCTTTTTCTCTTTTTTCTGTCTTCGTGTGCAATTTAACCTTCCCAGCACCGGAGCTTTTCTGTGAGTCTCAGCCAGCCCGCTGCCCTAGGACCCACATCTCCCAGCCTTTAACTCCTGGCTGCCCTCTTCCAAAATCCTGTGTGTGAGGTTGAAAGGACAACACTCAGCTTTCCTCAGCGCAAAACTCAGCAGCAGAAGCGAGATCTGCAGGGTGAGTACAAGGCCAGGGCTGCTGGGTGAAAATGAGGGAGGAGGCAGCTCTCCCTGCTGTGATGTCCACTGTCCTTGCCCTGGGGCAGGCATCCCTTCCTGATGATACCTGGTGCAAAGGGTGATTCCATCACAGATGTACCCTCACTCTTTTATCCTTAGTTGCTCTCCAACCAAGTCCCAAGCCCAGAGGAGGTGCACAGAGCTGGGCCACCCTCTGTGGCTACCCTGGATTTCTGGGATTATAGAACCAGCCCGAGATGCCCTGGGAGATGGTGCATCCTGCCTGTCCCTCATGCACTGCAGAGGCAGCTGCATTCAGACCAAGAATTTCCAGCACACTTCATTTTCATGCAAGCCTACATCCACGTAAATTGCCAGCAGCTTTGGCGGAGATGCTGGCAGGGCTCCTGAGGTGAAGAGCTGATGCTGCACCAGGCATTGCTGCTCTCTCCAAGTGGTGCTGGGCTGCAGGCCATGACTGCCATGCATGGGGATGCCTCTCAGCTCCAGAGAGCCACTTTGTGCAGCCCTTTTCAGGAGGAGTCAGGCAAGGTCACCCTGCCCTCCACGTGCTCTCCCCTCCAATGCTGCATGCTGATAACCTGGACTCTCCATATTGACTGTGCCTTGGTGGGGAAACAGTCACCCACGTGCTGGAAGCTGGGCACACTTTGTCCCTGCTGCACCCTGAGCACTTCTAACCTTAGCCAAGGTCACAGCAATAATGGGAGCTGGAGCTGTCTGTCCACACACACAGCTGGGAGAGAGATGGAGTACAGGGACCCCCCGCCCTGGGGTGCAGCATAAACCTGCACTTCTCTGGGGTACTCCCTGTGAATCACCCTGGAAATGCCATTGCCCACCAGCAGAAGGAGAACCAGAGGACTGGAGGCTGCAGATGATGTTCTTTGGGGAGGCATCACTGCTGCCCTGCAGGAGGAGCAGGGTGAACCCTCCAGTCTGGAAACCACAGAGCACAAAGTGAAGGTCGCCAGGGCAGGCACAGTGCTCACCCCCTGGCAGTGTCATCTCTGCTGCTGTCACTGCCCAGCAGCAGGGGCAGAGGGGACACCAATTCCAGCTCTTCTGCCTCATGCTTTCCATTTCTGTGCATCTGTTCTAAGACACACGTAGTTTCTGTAAGATAAAGGCAAAATGCCAGCCACCCCCTGAGAGGCTGCTGATCTAATCAGCAGAATGAAGCAGAGGTCTGGAGAGGTTTGCAGGAGATCTTAGGTCCAGGTGTGACCACAGATTTCCTCTCTGCACCATGGGGGTGGTGATAGGAAATGCCACCTGGTAAAGGACACACAACCAAAGAATTCCTGACCAAGAAACTTCTTGACCCACAGCAGGGAGAGGGGCCATGGGAGAAGCAGCCCCTGGGAGCAGAGCACTGCCAACTCCAGGACATCAACTTTTGTCAGGCTACGACTCTGACAACTCAGCCCTGCTGCTGCTAGCTGGCCCGAGGGGCAGGAAGAACAGGCAGAGAAAGCCACACAGCAAAGTGATATTGCTCAGAGGGGAGTTGGGTGATAGGTCTTGGGGTGATACAAGCCTGCTCAGCTCTGCCAGCACTCAGCATTTAGTCGAGAATGCCTAGAGCATCCTCACAGCATCACATCACGGTCCCTCCCAGGCACAGCAGGTGCTGAATGCAGCACCCCTTACACTGGGGAGCAGGAGAGGGGGGGAAACAGACCCATCTGTGTCCTGTCAGGCCACTGATCTCGCTCTGTGTTCCCCTGCAGGATCCCTGCTCTGGCATGTGGCATTTGCTCCATCCCCAAGCACTGCTGGAGAGGCCTCTGCCCACCCAGGTTTCTTCCCAGGAGGGTGGTGTGTTAGAAGAGCCCTCAGAGGAGCTGCAGAAGAACATCTCCCCTGGCCTGTCTGAGCAGTGGCACTTTCAGCATCAAGCCCCACATGAGCAGGAAGAGATGCCTGAGGAGCTGGGTCAGGAGGCAGGGCTGGGAGTGCTCTCTCCAGACCCATGGCACAGGGTGGAGGGGAAAAGGGACTGATGTTGAGGTCTTGGTGCCAGGCAGACCAGCCTAGGATGGAGAAAAGCAGAACAGACACTACCTTCCCTGGTGTCCTCAGGATGTATCCACCCCTGAGAGGGGGCAAGGGCCTGGTAGATGGGGGTGAAGTGGCAGGAGGGCTCAGCGTGGTGGAAGTTGGCAACCACAAGTGCCGGATGTCCAGGCACAGGACATCCCAGTCCCTCAGCATGCATGCTGTGCATGGCTGCCTCCCATTCCTGGGGCTGTCCTTACACCAAATCAGCTGTCCCAGCCCTAGTGCAAGGCAGAGAGAAGCCCTGGAGCCTGCTGGCCATGGGGAGACACTCAGCAGCCAGGGTTTGCCCCAGGTTCTGCCCTCCCCAGCAGCTCAACAGTAAGGCTCCCAAAAGAGGATGTTTCTTCCCTGAGTGTATGCAGAAATCATCAGTGGTATAAAAATCTATTTAAGACAGAAGGAAAATGAGATACTTGATTTTTGTGGGTGTGTGTGCTTTGTCCTGGGAAGAGGCTCCCTGCCCTGCTCCACCCTGCTGTCCCATGCCCATCCCTCTGCCAGGACAGAACCTGGACACAGCACAAACACCCAAGACACAGGCACAGCTGCCCTGGGCAAGGCTGGCACCCCCCAGAGCACATCTTACCCTGTGGCACCAACCAGCTGGTCCCTCCGTGGTCCCTGAGCTGATGGAGCAGGGGACACCTTTGTCATCCCCCAGGAGGCCCCAGCTCAGGGCTCCCCCTGCTTGCTGCAGGCACGGCCCGACCCCAAGCTCCAGCCACACCGTGGGTATCACCCACTGTCACCATCACCCACGGCAGGGCCGGGCTCCCTGACCTGGCACAGCACACCCCACTCACTCCCAAAACTCCTCAACACCCCTGAGCCACCACAGCACTGATTGTCAGCATCTGCCACTGGTCCCACTGTGGGGTTCACCCTGCCACCGCTAATTAGTGGTTACAGAGAGCAATTATCACCCAAAGAGCAAGGAAAGCTGAGAGAGCGGAGTGCTGCAGCCCCAGTGCCTCCCAGCACTTGGCCAAACCCCGGTGGGCAAGGAAACATCCCCAGCAAGGTGATGCCCTGGCAGGCGAGGTCCCCTCATGGGATAAGGAGCTATGAAGCTCCTGGGCTCAGCCCAGGACTGAGAAGTTGCCTCAGCAGCAGCTTTACAGAGCAGCAGGAGCTGAATCCCTGCAGAGGAGCACACGGAGCTCTCGTCTTCCCCAAACAAAGCCGGCAGGAGCAGGCCGGAATCGCCTGCAGCATCCACGCTCCGCTCCAGCTCGGAGGAGAACTGGCAAACACACACCCAAACCCCTGCCACCTATGATAACAATTAGAGACTTATCTAATTGCAAAAATAATTGCAATTGAAGTGTTTAATTACCATACTAAGCAGGAAGAGCAGTTTCCTACTGTTCCAGTAGCACTCCCGATCCATCAAACAAGGTTTGGGGCTTGTTTGGGTGCTGGGTTTTTTTAGGGTTTTTTTGGTTTTCTTTTTTTGATTATTAGATTGCAGCCCCAGGGGATGAAGAGATTTGCTAATTAGGGTCTTGGAGAACAGCTACCAATTCACAAGCACTTGCTTTTAATTTCAATACTAACGAGGCTGGAAGGGGGAGAAATCCAAAATGCAGAACATCTGTGGCAGTGCTGGCTGCAGCAGCGCTGCCCCCAGCCCCTCCTCGCTGGGCTGGCACTGCTCAAGGACCATCCCAGAGACCGCAGGGATGGGCTGGGGGGTGCAAGCACTCCCCACAGATGGGATGGCCAGTGCAAGCATGAGCAGGGTGGAGCTGCTGCTCCGGGTCGCTGCTGTCACCGCAGCCACCACACAAACTAATCCCAGCATCGATCATCTGTCTAATCCCATCAGGGACCATCAGCTTTCTCAGTGATGGGCTAATCCTGGTCCTGAGGCAGCCGTTCCATCCCCTGGGGGTGCAGCAGCAAGAATTTCTCCAGGTGACATTCGGTTTTGTTCTCCTCTAAACTGACAACAAAAGAGAATTTAATTCTCTCGCCAAGCAGCAATTCTGTGAGGGAAAAGAAACTGCTTAGGAAGCTCCCAACCAACATCTGCTCTCTCAGATAGGAAATATTCCCCTGCTAGTGGAGGGAGCATAGGCAGGGCTGGCTGCCAAGTGCATGGGGACATCCCCATCCCCCTGTCCCTGCAGGGGACACAGGAGCTCACACTGCCCTGTGTACGACACCCAACCCTCACCTAGCTCCACCGAACCACCCAGGGACTTCTTCCACCAAGCCACCTTTCACATCCTTGCCACAGCTCTGGGAAGGATCCAAAAATCTGCAGAGAGGAGACACAGGGAAGGAGAGAAGTGCTCGGGAGGCAGGAGCAGCTGCAGGGCATCCAGGCATCCTGTCCCCCAGGAGCGCAGCTGAGACGTGGTGGCTGCCACGGGCCGGAGGCAAAGGAGTGTTTTATTTCTTTTAGATAAAAGAGAAACATCAGTAGAATGAGGAAAAACTGTGTTGGGTTTTTCTTTTTTTCAGGCTGTCATGTGATTAAACACAGAGGAAACAGAAAGGTAGAGAACAGCCCCGAGCAGTGGAAAATGAGAAACTTTGTGTTAGAAATCTCAAGATTGAATTTTCTGGAATAAAATACATTTTGGGGTCAGTCAGCCAACAGTTTTGGCTGGGGAATCAAGCCTCTGGAAAGGTTATGGAGCCCATTTCATCCCCACAAATCTGAAAAATTACATTTCCATGCCAAAGCATCTTGAAACCAAGGACAAGCACTCCCTTCCAGTAGGAAGGCGGTGACCGTGGGGAAGGCATCATCAGGTGCCCTCCTGGCCTCAGCTAAACCCTTCTTGCCAAGCATTTCCCCACCC